CATGTGTCACAGTGCTGGCTAATTTTTTGACTTTGTGTAGTGAGAGGAACTTGCTGTGTTGCCCAGGTTGGTCTCGAACTCCTGGGCTTAAGTAATTTTCTCACCTTGGCCTCACAAAGTGCTGGGAATACAGGCATCAGACACCATGCCTGATACACAATTTACATTAAAAAAAATTGCCTATCTCTGAAGAAATTTTTGTAGTTATTATTTTTTTACTCATGGTTTTACATTTTTACCCAGGCTGGGGTGCAGTGGCATGATCATGGCTCATCATAGTCTTGATCTCCTAAGCTCAGGTGATCCTCCTTCCAGCTCAGGCTCTTGAGTAACTGGGACTATAAGCACACATCATCATGCCTGGCTAAGTTTTTGACTTTTTGTAGAGAAGAGGTCTCAGTATGTTGCCCAGACTTATCTTGAACTCCTGGGATCAAGCAATCCTACCCCCTTGGCTTCCCAAGGAGCTGGAACTACAGGCACGCGCCACCATGCCCGCCTCATTTTTTTGATTTATTGTAGAGATGAGGTCTTGCCAAGTTGCCCAGGCAGGTCTCGAACCCCTGGGCTCATGCAATCCACTCACCTCAGCCTCCCAAAATGCTGGGATTACAGGCTGAGCCACCGAGCCCGGCTGGTTATTATTTTTAATAGTTTTGTCATTCAGTCTTTTTACTAAAGATGTAAATGGTTTAAAGATCGTGGTTACAATATAAATATAACAATTGCATTAACATCCTTTTTCTTTTGGCTTGAAAATCTCCCTTTAACATTTCTTGTAAGACAGATCTGGTAGCAAACAATTCTTGCTGCTTTTACTTGTCTGGGAAATCTTTATCTTTCCTTCATTTTTGAAGAATAATTTTGCTAGGCACAGTATTCTTGACTGGCAGGTTTTCTTTTTCTTTTGCACTCTGAATATATATCCTCCTACTACCTCCTGGTCTGTAAAGTTTCTGCTGAGATGTTTGCTGCCAGGCATATTGGATTTTCCTTATATATTATTTGCTTCCTTCCTCTTGTTGTTTTCAGAATCCTCTCTTTGTCTTTGACATTCGTGAGTTTGATTTTAATATGTCTTAGGGTACTTATAGTTGTGTTGAATCTGATTGGTGACCTTATCTTCCTATGCCTGAATATTTATGTCTTTCTCCAGGTTTGAAAAGGTTTCTGATATTTTTTAAAATAAGCTTTCTTCCCTTTTGTCTTTCTCAGTTCCCTCTCTTACTCCAATAACCAAATATTTGTTCTCTTGATGTCCCATAAATCTCATAAGCTTTGTTCATGATTTTTGTTCTTCTCATCTTTTTCTCCTCTGTGTATTTTCAAATGGTCTGTCTTTGAACTAACTGATTCTTTCTTCTGTTTGATCAATTCTGCTGTTGATTGCATTTTTATTTTATTATTTATTTATTTATCTATCTATCTATTTATTTATTTATTTATTTATTTGAATTGGAGTCTCACTCTGTCGCCCAGACTGGATGGAGTCCAGTGGCCGCTCCCGGCCACCGTAGCATCGACCTGCTGGACTCCGGTGATCCTTCCGCCTCAGCCTTCCAAGTAGCTGGAACTACAGGCGCTCGCTACCACACCCGGCTAATTTTTTGATTTATTGTAGAGATGAGGTCTCGCCAAGTTGCCCAGGCGGTTCTCGAACCCGTGGGCTCAGGCAATCTACTCGCCTCAGCCTCCCAAAGGCGCGGGATTACAGGCTGAGCCACTGAGCCCGGCAATTGCATTTTAAAATTCTATTCATTGTATTTTTCAGCTCCAGAATTTCTATTTAATTTCTTTTATTAGTTCAATATAGTTATGAAATTTCTCTGTTATATTTCTGAATCAATTCTCCATATTTTCTTTAAGTTTATTGAGCTTACTTGAAATAAATATTTTGAATTATTTGTTTGAGAGATCACACATCTCTATCTCTTTAGGATCAATCTCCGGCACCTTATTTGGTGAGGTCATATTTCCCTGAATGTTGTTGATGCTGAAGTGTGACAATGTCTGCACATGGAGGGATTGGGTACTTATTTTAGTTTTCACAGTCTGACTTTGTTTCTGTCTGTCCTTTATAAGACCTTCTAGGGATCCTAAACCAACTGTCTGCTGTATCCCCTAAGCCTGTGACCACTGCAGCCATCCCAGAACTAGAGTCAGCTCTAAGCCCAAGCTTGCCATGAGTCTTGTGGAAGCTCTGAGGTTGACAAAGGTTTCTGGTTCAAATGGACCTGGAGAAGACCCACGGAGGATACTGGGAATGCTGATCAGGAAGCTGTTTCCTGAAGACTGTCCAGAGCCTTGGTGGGTGTATCTCCCAGCAGGTCTATGTACAGACAGGATGGGTCCCCAATTGCAGCAAGAAAGGTGCTTCCCAGCAAACTCCTACACAGATAGAATAAGTTCTGGCAAAGTTGAGACTGGATTTCCTCAGGATCTGCTGTGGGATAGAGGCTGAAGAGCCTGGTGTTGTTACCTTAGAAGGTATGTATCTCCGAGGGGGACTCTGCACAGACAGGATTGTATCCTGTTTACAGCAGGAGAGGCTAGAACTGAGATGAGGCTCCCTCTGGATCTACTGTGGGACAGAGGCTAGAGAACCTGTCTCATTGACCCTGCCAAGTACACGTTTCCCAAATGGTCTCAGCAAAGATGGGATAGTTCCCAACTGCAGTGGAAGGGGCTGAACCTGATGCTGGGTCTCTTCAGGATCTGCTGTGGGATGGAGACTGGAGAGCTCATGTCATTGGTCCAGACAGGTATGCGTCCTCCAGCAGATGTCAGCACAAATGGGATAATTCCCCAAATAACATCAAAAGGGGTTGGAATTGGGACTAGGTTCCCTCAAGATCTGCTGTAGGACAAAGATTGCTGATTCTTTCAGGGAGGCTCAAAATCCCCAGCTGTGAGATATGGGCAAGTCTCCCTCTGGGTTTTTGTGTGAGCAGCTCTGAGCTAGGACTTTAGGCGTGGTAAGGCTGGGGCAGCACCACAGGGCAACTTTCAGGTTCATTGCCAAAGCCGTTATCAGCAGACGAGACTTTCTGCCAAGGTACTACTGTGCGCAGTTCCTTTTGGACCCCTTGTCAGATGATTTTGGTTTCAGGTTCAAAGCCAAACAGGGATGTGGCCAAGCCCCTTGGGGGACTGGGCGTGAACCCAGAAGCAAGCTCAGCAGGGCAGATTAGCCAACTGGGTGTTGGTCTGTATTCTCCAAGCAAACTTCCAAAGTCTTGGACCCCAGTGGAGTTTTATAAGCCCTTACCTGAATTCTGAGGCTCCTGCAGAGAAATCTTTCACTGTGGGTGGTTGCAGAGCTCTTATTGTGGGGGGATATGAGCAGGTTACTGTCCATTCTGCCATCTTGGTGACATCCCTGGAAACTTGCTTTGGTTGCTCATCGTCATGCTTTGTAAATTTATCTATGTTTATATATTAAGATATAGCTTACTCATTTGATCTGCTGTATTAAACTTTCATTGTATGTAAACCTTTGTTTCCCATATCAGAAATCTACCTTGCCCTTTACAGTGTCTATGTCAAACTTTCTCCACTCTGTTAAAATGTTTTGTCCTGCTGTATCGCAGGGAATGATTTCATTTCCTACATTAAAGGGAAAAGAGAAGGTGTCAGAAGGGCCCTCTCTCAGCTTCCTCCCACAAAAGTTATAAACTTACCTTTGCCCATGCCAATTATTTCCTCTTCCCGTCTTCCTGACCTATTACATTCTGGATCACATTATTTTTCTACCTCTCTTTTCAAGGCCTTCACTGGCTTAATCATCCCATACTTTTTTCTACATCTTTACATTTTAATTTCCCTACTGGATCTTTCCCCCCCATGTTAAATATTTTCAGGTATTTTCCAACTTAAAAACAACTACTTCTTCTCTTTCTCCAGCTACATATCACTGGACCTCTCTCCTTTCATAGCTTGATATAGTGGACACGTTTTATATACTTGATGATGTGATTTCCTTACCTCCCATATATTTCTCAAACTATTGCAAAATGATTACAATTAATTAATCTGAGCTCACTTACTGAGCACCTGTGAACCAGCACACAGTGTTAAATGCATGTTATGAGTGATTTCAATTAATCCTCGTAATAATAGTCATATTTAGATGGCTTCCCCATGTTCTATAAGTAGAAAAGCAGAGTTATAAAGATGAACTATCTGGACTAATATCATAATGCTATTAAATGACAAAATTGGAATTCAAGTCATCTTCACTGACTGTAGTCTCTAAAACCTTAACCCCTGGTATATTGCTTCCTGATGCTCACTCTCCAGTTGTCTGAACAGCAATTTTGAAGTTACTAATTACCTCAACTTTGCCAAACCTAATAACGCTTTCCAGTTGTCACATAGCTGCAACTGTCAGCAGTAGACTCCTTAAACCCTCAGCAGTTAACCTTGTTCTGAGCCTGCTTAATATCATATTCCCTTGGTTTTGCTCCTACTATTTGGGATTTTGATACTCAGTCCTCTCTACAGTCACAGTGTGTTCTTCTTTTACTTATCCTCTAAAATTGATATTAATTGGAAAACTGTTCTAAACTGAGGTATTCTCATGTCATGGGTCATACACCCCTCCAGGGATCCACTACTGTCATGCTTCAGTGCAGATGACTTCACCTGGCCAATACCAGTGTATCCTTTAAGTCTTAACTTAAATGCCATCTCCTCCTGGAAGTCTTATTGAACTGTGGTCTGCGTATTAATTCAGATACCCCTTTACTGTGTTTTCTTTTTTATAGCCCACATCACACATGATGGTAAGTACTAACTCCATTAGTTTCCTTTCCTGCCAGACAGTCAGGTCCTAAAGAGAAGGGACTATTCCTGTATTCTTTACTAGTTTGTTGTCTTCTCCCAGCACATATTAGACAGGAATTAAATACTTTCTGACAAATGAATTACATGTATGGAATAATTAATTTTTTTAGTCAAAATAAAGCTAATGTTCTAACAGTTTCAGCTGTTGTACCAGCATGGAGAGAGATGATGAAACCTCCCTGATGTTGGAACCATCTTACCCAGACTCAGTCATTAGTATAGGAAAAGTGACTCTTGGAGAAGAAAACAGAAAAAAAATGGAGAAAACGAAGAGAGACAAACAGAGGATGAGAATTACACGGATTGCGTGTGCTTTATTAAACTCAGGAGGAGGAGTGATTCGAATGGAAATGGAAAATGAAGATGTGCGTCCTACGGAGATGGGACTGGATATAGAACGGTCTTTGAGAGAGCTTATTCAGTCTAAAGATTTGCTGGCTTTCTTTGAGACCAAGCAACAAGGGAAGTGTTTTGAAATTTTTGTTAAATCTTGGAACAATGGCCCTTTCTCTAAAGACAGTTCTGTCAAGCCACGCATTTGCAGCCTGAGTTCTTCACTATACTGTAGATCTGGGACCTCTGTTTTTTCTTTGAATTCAAGAGAGGCATTCGACTTTCTGAAAAATAATGCAGAAATCTTGGGGCAAGAACCTTCTCGTAAAATTCTCAAAGTCATGCCTAAAGTCCTTGATAACTCAAATCCTGCAGACCTCATTTTTCAAAAATACCGCCTTGAATATGGTGAAATCCTGCCTTTTCCTGAGTCTTATTCCATAGAATTTAAACAGTTCTCTACACACCACATCCAAGAATATGTAAAAAACATGATTCCAGAGTACATCTCCGCATTTGCAAACACTCAGGGAGGCTATCTTTTTATTGGAGTGGATGATAAGCATAGGCAAGTCCTGGGATGTGCAAAAGAAAATGTTGACCGGGACTCTTTGAAAAGTGTAATAGCAAGAACAATTTCCAAGTTGCCTGTTGTCCATTTTTGCTCTTCCAAACCATCAGTGAAGTATAGCACTAAAACCATAGATGTGTTTAAGGAGCAAGTGTTCTATGGTTATCTTTGTGTGATTAAAGTGGAGCCATTCTGCTGTGCAGTGTTCGCAAAAGCTCCCAGTTCCTGGATAGTGAGGGAGAACAACGTCTGCAGCCTGACAGCTAAGGAGTGGGTAGGCAAAATGATGGATGCAGATCCAGGTAAGAGAAAGCAAGCTTCTCCCTCTTTGTCTTTCCACCTTTTCGGCAACTCCATGTCCTACTCCATTCTCTGTAATGCTGAGCTCTAAATACTTACTGAAATTTCTTTAAATCTCCATGAGTTTCTTATTCGGGATGGATTTTTTGGGTGAGAAAAATCCAAAATCACATACTTTGTGAATGGTGATTTCCCACAAAAGAAACAGTGAGGACAACACTTGGACATTGATTCCTTTATTAAATCCTCTCATTGGAATTTACTGGAGCCTCATAATAAGAATTGCCTTATACCTCAGTTTAGCATGAGTTAAATTCTGGGAGACAGGAGCTGGTATTGGATGAGGTTTGTTTTTGTTGGTGTTAGTGGAGTTGAGTGTGCAAGGACTTAAAACACGTGGTGATATCACTTTTAAAAGAAAATGTATAATTCAAGCATAGAGCTATTTAAACATGGAAGAGGGAGCATTATACTGAATGGGGAAACACCATTCAAGAGTCAAAACAAGGGCTTTTGTGGCCTGAATTGTACTATGTTAGGTGAAGTTTGGACATAGCCTTGTTCAGCCTATTCCAGTGGAGGAGAATGCAATGACATAGGATAAAATGGTCTTTCTTTCAGAGTTTGTTTCAGAGTTGACCGAGGATTTTGAATCTCAGCTGAGTCTGTCCCACAGCCCTCCACTTTGTAGACCAGTGTATGCAAAGAAAGGTCTGGAACATAAAGAAGAGCTCCAACAACGTTTATTTTCAGGTACTAATGGCCAGTTTTTTATTAGGAGAAAGGGAGATGATTTAACATATTTTGTTAAAAGCAAAGATATGGAAGATTGTGTTCTGCATACCCAGGTGTTTACATGACATGCCACAAGCCTCTTGGCAATGTTCCAGGTACCCTTAGAAGTCATCTAGCTGAGTGGTTGCCAAATCTGGCTGATTATCGGAAGCACCACAGGAGGCAGTTAAACATGCAGGTGTCCAGTCCCCCATCAAGAATTCATTTCCAGGAGTAGGGCCTGGGCATGTATATCTGAATAATCTTCCTTAATTATTCTGATGCCCTGCTGGGTTTGAAAAACACTGATCTAGTACAACTGTAGGCAAAACATTAGATCAAGGGGAGCATGATAGGACAATTGACCACTTCTACTCAGTTTTTCAGGGATGGAGGAATTATATCTCCAAATAGAATTAAAATGTTCACCTGGAAAATATAAAATTGCCTCAAATCATTCTACCAAAAAGATATCTGTGCATGCATGTTTATTGCAGCACTATTCACAATAGCAAAAACATGGGACCAACCATCAAAAGTGGACTGGATAAAAAATAATGTGGTACATGTACATGATGGAATATTATGCAGCTGTAAAGGAGGATGAAATTATGGACTTCTAGAGGTGGGGAAGATGGCGGCCGAGCCAGTCAGACTATGCAAATCCCCATGTGAGTGAGTGAGTGTATGGAAAATTTTGTGTATGTGCTGGTGAGCTAGTGGGCATGTGAGTGGCTGACTGGGTGAGGACTAGGGAACTAGCGGCCAGGGTTCTCCTGGTGCAGCGCCTGGTGCCACAGGGTCTGGGCTTGTACCCTAGCGATTCGCGGGACACAGAAGCCAAGCACCATTTTCTCTTTTTTTCTTTTTTAAATCAACAACCCCCACCTGGCAAGAAAACACTGGGAGAGATTGTCTAGGTGGGGTTCCTGAGCGTGTGGCCAGGCCCTTGGTGCAACAGCAGGTGCTGCGGCTTCTCTACTTGTCCCTGGCTCTTCCCGGGTTGCAGAAGTGGAGCACCATTGTTTTTTTAAAAACAGACAGAAGTTTTCCTTTGGAAAAGCAGTTGGGAGACACTATTGCCCCAGGCGCTCTCTCACCATTGAAGCAGGAGAGAGACTGCTCCAGGCTTTGCCTTACCACTTCAGCACCTTGCAGGGTGCACCTTCAAGGGACTGCAGACGGAGTCCAGAGGCAAGTTCCTATGGAAGAGGACAAGAGAGGCACCCCACCACCATATTGAAGGCGGGACAGGAAAGTGCTCCAACTTGCTCACCATGGACCAATAGATCCGATCTCTGTGACTGGTGAATCAACTACTCAGGGCTTGATCGTGGCCCAAAGGGAATATCCTGAGAAAACAAACTTCAGAGGCACCAGACAAGTTCTGAGTTCCATGCGCCCCATCCCCTACCCTGATCCAGCTGTAGGACAAAGGGTATGGTCACAAAGGAGGAGGAAGAACTCTAAAGAGATCAGTGGTGAGTCTGGGGCGACGCCAACCCCCTCCTTCCCACCAATCCTCTGAACATCAGACCCAAGCAGCTGGGCCACAACTGAGAGGGAAGAACCCAGGCAGAGCCTGGACATCAGTCGCAATAGGAGAGCTCCATTTCAGGATAGGCCTTGCTTTGGCACCCCAGTGAGAGTATAAACCTGGGGAAGAGACCATCCCAGTACCTCCCCACCAGAGATCTCCTTGACTATACGAGAGTGGGAGGGGAGGCCTGCAGCCCCACCCACCTCCACTGCCCCTCCTCTTTCCCTGCTTCCTTTCCTGAAGAGAGTGAAAGAGGTGGCTCTGCAGGAGAGACCTGATTGGAGGAGCAATTACAGAGCCTGCCACAAGAGGCCAGATTTGTTTGTTTTTGTTTTTTAAGTTACTTTTTAATTAAAAAAAATTTTTTTTGACTGTTTGCTTTTTAAAAAGTTCATCTATTTTTGAAATATTTTTCCTTTGTGAATGAATGTGTATGTGAGAGTTTGATCTGCATCACCCTCCAAAATTTTTTTCTTTACTTTTTCTGTTTCTTCTTTTATTTGTCGTTTTCTGTTTATGTGAATGATTGAGTGTTCATCTTTTGATTTTGTTGTGGTTGCTAGTTTTTGTTCGTCTGGGTCTTTTTTATATTCATTGTTTATAGTTTAAGGGGTGTGTCAATAGATGTGTGAGGGTTTGACCTGAATCTCCCCTCTTTTTTTTCCTTTTGGTCTTTCTGTTTTTCTTCTCTATTCACTTTGTGCTAGGCATGTGTGTGTGTTTAGTTTTCTTGGGGGTCTTTTTGTTGCTGATTGTTTTGTTTAGCTTTGTTGTTATTCCAGTTTGTTTTGGAGTGTGTGTGAGTATGTGTTCAACTGCTTTTGCATTGGTTTCTGTTTTGCATTGTCATATAGAGTGGTAGTGGAGAGTGGGTCTCGGGAAACACATACTACAATAAGTGAACATTTTAATTTGCAAGTAGTAACTGATTCCTAGCGCCCCATCCCCACTTTATTCAAATTTCGAAAACTACAAGTGACAGCAAAGCTTTCTATCCACCATCCTATTTCAAAATAGAATAAGTCCAGAGCCTGGATCAGGGAAGAATAGAGGTCTGAGCAAATCAGAAGGGAAAGCCTCTCCCACTGACACTAAATAGCAGAACTAAAGGGAAAAACAAGAGATCTGTCACAAATGACGAAAAGCCAAAGGAAAACCTCAGGCAATTTCAAGTGTACCAAAGACAAAACTCCTGAAAAATAAGACCTTGGCACCCAAACAATGGAAGTCACCAAAGACTGTCACCAGAATATGACAAGGATTAGAGAATGGATGGAAAGAGTGAATAGGACTCAAGAAAGACAAGATGCAACACTGAAAGAATTTGTAACAGAGATTTTGGCAATAAAAAATTTCATCCAGGAAATAAATAACAAGATGACAAGCATGGAAAGCAGAATTAATCTAGCTGAAGAAAGAATTTTAGAACTTGAAGACCAGAACATAGAATTAACCCTATCTGTAAAAAACATAGAAAGAAGACTCAGAAAGAAAGAACAAAGCGTACAAGAGATGTGCGATTATATGAAGAGGCCGAACCTATGCCTGATTGGTATCCCAGAAGAAGAAAGGGAAATGGAGAACGACTTAGAGCAAGTATTCCAGGAAGTAATCCAAGAAAACTTTCCCCATTTCACCAGAGATGTGACCAGCCAAGCACAAGAGATACAGAAAACCCCCACGAGACATCAAATGAGAAGACCAACCCCTAGACATGTAGTAATTCGCCTACACAAAGTAGGTACAAAGGAAAAAAATCCTAAAAGCAGCAACAGAAAAAAGTCAGATAACCTACTGGGGAAAACCAATCAGAATAGCAGCAGACCTATCAGCAGAAACACTACAAGCAAGAAGGGACTGGAACCCTATATCACAGTCCTCAAAGATAAACAACTTAAACCAAGAATTTCCTATCCAGCCAAGCTCAGCTTCATCAGTGACAGAGAATGAAAATCCTTCCCAGACATCCAATCCCTAAGAGATTATGCAGCTTCCAGACCAGCTCTACAGGAGACACTTAAAAAGGTAGTAAGCACAGAAGAAAGAAGAAAAAGATTGACAACACACTTCCCAAGAAAACAGCAGAGCACAGAATCAGCAGAGAATACAGTACAACAAGAAACTTGAAAACACACACATACACTAACCCCAAAGCCAAAAGAGAACAAGCAAACAAAGGAAAAACTTTATAAGAACCTCATGACAGGGATAAGCAATTATATTTCAATAATCAGCCTGAATGTGAATGGACTAAATGCACCACTGAAAAGACACAGAATCGTGAACTGGTAAGAAACCATGATCCAATTATATGCTGCATCCAGGAGATTCATCTCACTTCAAGGGATGCACACAGACTCAAAGTTAGAGGTTGGAAAACAAGTTTCCAGGCAAATGGATCACAAAAGAAGGCAGGAGTTGCAATCTTAATATCAGACAAACAACCTTTAAGCTATCAAAAATTTAAAAAGATACAAAAGGACACTACATAATGATAAAAGGTTCAATCCACGAACAAGAAATATCCATCCTAAACATATACGCACCCAACACAGGAGTACCAGCATTTATGAAGCAACTACTAAGTAAACTAAAAAAAGATATTGACTCTAACACTATTATAGCAGGGGACTTGAATACCCCACTGACAGCCCTAGATAGATCATTGAGGCAAAAAATCAGCAAGGTGATCCAGAACCTAAACTTGACACTCAACCAAATGGACTTAATAGTTACCTAGAGATTATTCCACCCAACAACCACAGAATTTGGAGTCGATCATACTCAGCGATCTATCACAGAAACAAAGAACAGATGTTCTCACTCATAAGCAGACCTTGAACAATTATAATACTATAAGAAAGTGTTTGGCAACAATGGAAAACTGTGTGTGTGGGGTGGGATTGGCAGTTGAGGGAAACTGCTGGGGGAGGGAGGGGCATACCTCATCAACAATGGTAACTGCATAATCAATGTGTGTATACCTAACCCTGAATTGTACCCCACACCTTTATAATGAAAAAAAGCAAGTATGGACTTGGCAGCAACATGGATGGATTTAGAGTCTGTCCTATTCAGTGATCTATCATAGAGACAAAGAACTGAATGCCACATGTTCTCATTCAAAAATGGGTCCTGAACATTTATCACAATATTATAAGAAAGAGATCGACAGTAGCAGGACACTGCTGGGGGAGGCACATAACATCACTAAGGATACCTGATCCTAAACCAGTGAGAGGCCCAAACTTCACCTCTACGTAGACCACTTATGTACCTAATCCTGAATTGTATTCATCATTTTTTTTTTTGAGTAGGTCTCACTCTGTCATCCATGCTGGAGTGCTGGCACACTCATGGCCACTGCGGCCTTGACCTACTGGGCTCAGGTGATCCTTTAGTTTCAGCCTTCCAACTAGCTAGAACTACAGGAATGTACCTCCACACCCAGCTAATTTTTTGATTTCTTGTAGATACAGGGTCTCGCCAAGTTGCTCGGGCTGGTCTCAAACCTCTGGACTCAGGCAATCCTCTCACCTCTGCCTCCCAAAGTACTGGGATTTATAGGCATGAGCCACCACACGTGGCTGTACCCCACATCTTTAAAGTAAAAAAGAAGAATAAAAAAGAATATAAAACAGAGAAACTATGAGTAATTTCTCTTGGAAGAGGCTAGAGGGGATGAGTCACCAGTGTCTCAGAAGGAGCACAAAATAAAATTTAAGACCATGGACAATGTTAGGTAATTCCTCCCCCCACCACGCCTAAATGTTCTTAAGCAAGGTTTTATCTAAAAGTTACTACTTAGAAAAAAATCTAGATTTCTAGAGGAGGAAATGGCTTGTTTAACTTCACACATTGAATAAATTAAATGTGAGATCTAACAGTAGAATATGATATGCAAATATATATGTATATCTAAACTTTTATCAAGGGCCAAGTCATTAATACATTAGGCTTGAAAGGCTCGGTGGCTCAGCCTGTAATCCCGCGCCTTTGGGAGGCTGAGGTGAGTGGATTGCCTGAGCCTGCGGGTTCGAGACCCGCCTGGGCAACTTGGTGAGACCTCATCTCTACAATAAATCAAAAATTAGCGGGCGTGGTAGTGCTCGCCTGTAGTTCCAGCTACTTGGAAGGCTGAGGCGGAAGGATCGCCGGAGCCCAGCAGGTAGGGAGTGGCCACTGCACTTTAGTTTGTGCGACAGAGTGAGATTCCAACTGAAAAACAAAACAAAACAAAACAAAACAAAAACATTAGGCTTGCCTTAGGTACATTTTCAACCAAATAGTTTCTTTACTTACCTGAGTTCTTTGTAGTCATTAACTTATCATAAAAGTTTTTTAATGTTCCACATGAGAATCTGAGATGTAAGAATAATTGAATTCAAGATTTTCTCTTTCTCAGGCTTAATAAATTCCATTTTAGTTTTTAGTTGTCACGCTCTACTCTCCATGAGATACATAGACCTCATTATGCAGTTTACCAGATTTGTAAGGTGTGGGTTCAGGAGAGGTGCACCAGAAAGAATTTCTCTTAAGTTGCAAAATTATTCGGGGACTTTACTATCCCTGTTAAGTGTAACATGTGATTCATACAAAACAACACAAACTTAAAATCTTGTCTATCTTTTTCCACATGTAGTGCCACCAGAACATTTGCAGTATACTCCCAAATCCCTCTGTAAAGAGCTGTTCTCACAGCATGAAGGACTGGAGGAGTTAATAAACAAGCAAATGCAACCTTTCTCCCGGGGAATTCTGATCCTCTCTAGAAGCTGGGCCGTGGATCTGAACTTGCAAGAGAAAGAGGAGGTCATCTGTGATGCTCTGCTGATAGCACAGAACAGCCCCCCCATTCTCTACACCATTCTCAGGGAGCAGAATGCAGAGGGCCAGGACTACTGCACTCATATTGCCTTTATTTTGAAGCACAAGCTGGTGAACACGGGGGGCTACACCGGGAAGGTGTGTGTCATAGCCAAGGCCCTCTGCCTGAGTTCTGAGAGCAGTGCAGAGTCCTTGAAGGGTGCAGTCCCTCTGATAGATTACCCCATATCCTACAACCTCGCAGACACCCAGCAGATGGAAGCCTTGTTGCAGTCCCTTGTGATTGTCTTGCTCGGTTTCAGGTCTTTCTTGAGTGATCAGCTCGGCTGTGAGGTTCTGAATCTGCTCACAGCCGAACAGTATGAAATATTCTCCAAAAACCTCCACAAGAACAGAAAGTTGTTTGTCCATGGCTTCCCAGGCTCAGGGAAGACAATCATGGCCATGAAGATCATGGAGAAGATCAAGAATGTGTTTCACTGTGAGGAAAAGAGAATTCTCTATGTTTGTGAAAACCAGCGTCTGATGGACTTTATCAGGTAAGCAGTTGAATCTTATGTTATTCATTTTTATATTTATTTATTAGAGACAGGGTCTCACTCTGTTGCCCAGGCTGCAGTGCAGTGATGCAGTCACAACTCACTGCAGCCTTGAAATCTTTTGGCCTCAAGTGATCTTCCCATCCTAACCTTCCAAGGTGCTGAGATTACAAGCATGAGCCACTGGACCCAACCTATAAACATCCTCTAATCTGGGCTTAATTTCTCTGCTAAGTCACATTGTTACTTGAGAATTAAGTGGTAAAAATGATGTGTGACAACAGACTGTCTTCAGAGAAGCATGATAGAGTCATTTTCTCCATTTTTTTTTCAGCTTGAGATAATCTATGTGTCATTTTAATTATTACAGGAATAAAGGGATCTGTCAAGCAGTGACCCGGAAAACTTTCATGAGAGGTAACTTTGAACATATTCAGCACATCATCATTGATGAAGCTCAGAATTTCCGCACTGAAGATGGATACTGGTATCAGAAGGCAGAAACCATCACGCAAGGAGACAAAGATTGCCCGGGAATTCTCTGGATCTTTCTGGACTACTTTCAGACCAGCCACTTGAAATCTAGTGGCCTCCCTTCTCTCTCAGCTCAGTATCCAAGAGAAGAACTCACCAGAGTTGTCCGAAATGCAGATCCAATAGCCAAATACCTACAAGGAGTAATGCAGGACGTCAGAAAAAAACCCCCATTTAACATCCCCCTGGGGTATCTAGAGATGTTTCATGAGGCTAAATTGGTTCCAGGTGTTGCAGGCAACTTAGAAATTATTGAAGACTTGAACTTGGAGGACATGGTGATCTTTGTAGTAGAGAAGTGTCGATGTCTCTTGAGGAATGGTTATTCTCCCAAAGACATTGTTGTGCTTTTCAGCAAAGCAAGTGATGTGGAAAAATATAAAGATAAGTTTTTGAAAGAAACGAAGAAGAGAAAGGTATCTCAGATTAATGATGAATTCATTTTTGCCGATGACATGTTGGACAGTGTCCGTCGATTTTCAGGCCTGGAAAGAAGCATTGTATTTGGGATTGATCCCAGGGCAACTGAGCCAGCTATTTCCTATAATCTTCTGCTCTGTCTGGCTTCCAGGGCACAGAAACATCTGTATATTCTGAGGCTTAAATAATAGGAAGACCTTAGTTTCAGAAGAAGTTATAAAAGTAGACTATTCTCTCTGTCCCTGCTGTTTCAGAAAAGGAAGGACTGTTCTGCATCAAAAAATTATTGTTACTAACAATAAAGCTCTTTAAGAGGCCTGGCTTCAGAGCTTTTGCTATATGGAACTTCTTAAAAGTCTGATTCTGACTGTATTAATTACTAATCTTAAACTGAATATCATATGTTCTCTCTAATAAGCAGGAGGTAAACACTGTATGCACATGGGCACAAGGATGGGAACAACAGACACTAGGGCACTCTTTTTTTTTTTAGTCGACTTTTTAAAAAAATGTAAGTGGGACAGGCACTCTTATGGGTGAGGGGCATAAGGACTGAAAACTACCCACTGTGTACCATGTCCACCACTTGGGTGACAAGCTCAATACATCTATGTAACAAACCTTCACATGTACCCTTTGAGTCTGAAAAAAAATTTAGGCCGTACATGGTGGCTCACACCTGTCTTCCCAGCACTTAGAAAGGTCCAGGTGGGAGGATTGCTTTAGCCTGGGAATTCAAGACCAGCCTAGGCAGCATAGTGAAACCTCATTTCTACAAAAAATCAACAAATTAGTTGGATGTGGTGGCGTGTGCCTGTAGTCCCAGCTACTCCAGAAACTGAGGTAGAAGGTTATTGCTTCAGCCTAGGAGGTTGAGCCTGTAATGGGCCATAATCATACCATTGCACTGCAGTCTGGGTGACAGATCTTTTTGCCTTGCTATTCATATTTATATTGAAATTCCGTATTTTAAAAACGACCAAGTAAATTTTTGGGTTTGTTTTTTTTTTTTGCTAAGCCAGAAGAACATTGTTGATGCTTTCTCTTTTTGTCTACATCTCCAAAGGCAATAAAACATAGGAGTACACTATATTTCTTTTTTATGCAAAGTTCAAGAATCTGGTTTTTTAAAATTGGCAGAGTAATATGAAATGGACCATTAGGCCATTGCCTTGCTAAGCTATGGTGTGGCCATGTGCTCTTTGAGCTATGGCCAGGCCATGTTTCCTGGCTTTGGCCCCCTTCCCCACCTTGGGGAGGTGAATTCTCTCTCTCTCCCCCATTTACTTTTAAGTATATTTTCTAAGCTAAAAAAAAAAAAAAAAGAAAAGAAATGGACCATTAATCTGAGTGCTTATTTCATGGGGAGTATCCCCACCATGGTCAATTAATTTCAAGCTAACTACATGACATAAATAGGCCCACAACATCCTTGAAAAATTAGCAGTCGGCCCTTGGGAACTGATATGAACCTGTTTCAGCACATCACTACTACTTCTAAGCCATTCTAGCAAAATTTAATGTGCCTTTTTCTCAACTTCAGTATTTTAGAAAGAGAAAACATTCCTATAAGAAAATCTGGATCTTTAAACTTTCATTTTAATCGTGTAGTTGTTTTTACATTGGTATTTATACAAAGTCAAAGTTATTTCCTCTGAAATCCTGATAGACATCACCATTTCTGAAATAGAGGCTATGCATTACTAACGAACATGGACTTCCCCTTACCAAGATTGATCTGGCTACCATCACCGGTGAGTGTTCACCCTGCCGACAACAGAGGCCAATGCAGAGTCCTCAAGGTAGTAGCATTCCTCAGAATAACCGGCTGAAACAGGGTGGCTCGCAGGAATAAATACACATTCTATATATAAGCGTATCCTATTCACAATGCTTTTACTGGTATCATCATCCATGGACTTACAGATTGCCGTATTTCTTGCCATAAAATATTACCTCTAAACACGAAACTCATCTTGCCACAGTGGTAACCAAAAGAACTCGTCTTACTTCAATGGTATACCACAATGGTGTAGCAATGGGCTCAAGCCAATAGACTTTCAGTTTTTACCATGTGTTCCTTCACTCAGAATCAGCTGGTGTTACAGTATAAAGCCATAGCCTGCTGCAAGATTAGTTTTAGCCACAACAGCACCTGCAAAGTTGGAGTTCTTTTCTCCAGAAGATCTTATATGCCAAAATATACCAGTCTCCGAACCAAGAACTGGAAGTGGGTTGTGTGGACTTTCTGGTGATTACATCTAATAATGCTTTTAGGGAAATCACTCTGATTTCTTTGACTTTTTCTGGGTAGTTTGTGGGAACTCTGGTTTTGGATGTGGTAACATATAGAGAAAAAGTAATATGAAATCCCCTATATAAATTTAATAGAGGGCCACAGGGTAAAAAGCTGTAGAAAAGACCTGAGTTCTACAAAGTTGCAAACATATGTTAAAAGTTTTAAAAACCTGTGATTTCTAAGTTCTGTTTCAAAGTTCGCCTTCTTTCTTCCATGGTTGCTCACACATAGTTGCTTCAATAGAGCAACTAATAATGGATTATCTTCATGTCCTGATTTCCAGGGAAAGCTGCCCATGAGATTGAACTTATTTTCCTGTAACAATGAACCTTAGGTCCTGCAGACATTCTTGATGGTATCCAGGAGTTTGATTGGCCTCCTGTACACCTCTCTGCAAAGCTATAGGCAGAGGTAGATGGGAACCAGCCACTGTTTTCTAGTTTGCTTCTCTATAATGGCTTGCTGCCCAGGAATCAGGTCATTGAGGGGTCACAAGACTTGTAACTTCCCCAACTGCAATTGTAAAATCTAAGATTGATCATTGAGATATTTTTCAGACTTGCATTTTGGTGGACAAAGTAGCCCCATCCGGATCCATGACCTATGCCAGGGAGCTAACTCCACCAGTTCTATCCCCACAGCTCTGTTCATGAAGACAGTTTGGATACCTCAATGATTTCATCCCTAACCAATCAGCAGTACCCATTCCCTAGCCACCTGCCTATGAAATTATTTTTAAAAAGCCAAGTCTAAAAATTCTCGAGGAGGCGGATTTGAGAATATCCCGTCTCTTACCTAGCTGTCCTATGATAATTAAACTTTCTTTACTATAACTTCTGCTGTCTTAGCGAATTTGCTGTCTGTGCAGTAGACAGAAGAACATAACTAGACGGTAACAATTGCTCCAGAATTTCTAGGGTGACTGAGGAACAGTATGGAAAAGAGAAGTTGAAGCTGATACTAGGTGGGCATTGATGCCTCTACCTTATCAACTGCTATAGTCCTTCAGTTCCCCTCTAACCAACCCAGCTTTTTGAGGGGGTCAACAAGGCAGCACAGGTAGGTCCAGAAGGTCCCAGGAGGAATCCCTGTGCACAGCTAGCACATCTGTGCCCTCAAGGGCTCTGGGGGCCAGTGAAACCTCGTAAAGCATCAAACTGGGTCCTGAAGATGATCTGAGCCCACGGTCTTGGTGGGGAGTAGAAAGAGGATACGAGGAGAGGAGGAGGGAAGCATAAAAGAGAAGCCCTGAAGGTATGTTTCCTTTTCTCCAAACTCCAACCCCAGTATCTGCTTACTTCTGGGCTTCCCCCAGAATCTATCCTCTTAGTTAAGTTTAGTTGGGATCCTGTCTCCATCGAATTGACTTTTACTTTATTCAGAGTGGCTACATGCTGAGCTGAGACTTTAGGTGTTTACATGACAATGCCACAGGCCTCTTGGTGATATTTCAGGTACCCTTAGAAGTCATCTAGCTGAGTGGTTGCCAAATCTGGTTGATTATCAGAAACACCATAGGAGGTAGCTAAACATGCAGATGTCCTACCACCCATCAAGAATTAGTAAACATGTAATTTCCAGGGATGACACCTGGGCATGTGTATTTGAACAGTCTTCCTAATTTATTCTGATTTCTGCTGAGTTTGGAGAACACTAACCTAGGCAAAACATTAGACCAAGGGGAACATGATAGGATAATTGACTACTTTTAGTCAGCTTTTTAGGGGTGGAGGAATTATATCGCTAAATAGAATTAAAATGTTCGCCTGATAGAATACAAAACAGAGAAACCGTGAGTAATTTCTCTTGGAAGAGGCTAGAGGGAACAAATCACCAGTGTCCCAGAGGAAGCACAAAATAAATTCAAGACCATAGACAATATTAGGTAACCCCTCTCCCTTCTGCCCAAACATTTTTAAGCAAGGTTTTATCTAGAAGTTATAATACTACTTAGAAAAAAAATCTAGATTTCTAGAGGAGGAAATGGCTTATTAAACTTCATGCATTGAATATATTAAATGTGAGATCCAACAGTAGAATATGACATGCATATGTCCTATGTATGTCTAAATTTTTATAGAGGGTCAGGTCATCGATATATTAGGCCTGCCTTGGGTACATTTTCAACTAAATCGTTTCTTTACTTACCTGAGTTCTTTATAGATACTGGCTTAGCAAAAAAGTTTTTGAATGTTGCATAAAAGAATCTGAGATGCAAGAATTATTGAATATATGGTTTTCTTTTTCTCAGGCTCAATAAATTCCATTTTAGTTTTTAGTTGTCACACTCTATATGAGATACATGCATGGATGCCCATTATACAGTTTACCAGATTTGTAAGATGTGGGTTCAGGAGAGGTACACCAGAACAAATTTCTTTTAAAGTGGTAGAATTATTCTGGGGCATTACTGTTCCTTTTAAGTGTGATATGTGATTCATACAAAACAATAAAACATACTTTCAAAATCTTATCTATCTTTTCCACATGTAGTGCCACCAGAACATTTACAATATACTCTTGAATCCCTCTGGAAGGACCTGTCCTCACAACATGAAGGAGTGGAGGGGTTAATAAGCAAGCAAATGCAACCCAACTCCACAGAAATTCTCTCTAGAAGCCGGACTGTGAATCTGAACTCGCAAGAGAAGGAGGAGGTCATCTGTGATGTTCTGCTGATAGCACAGAGCAGCACCCCCCCCATTCTCTATATCATTCTCAGGGAGCAGAATGCAGAGGGCCAGGACTACTGTACTCGCATTGCCCTTACCTTGAAGCAGAAGCTGGTGAACATGGCGGGGCTACACCAGGAAGGTGTATGTCATGGCCCAGGTCCTCTGCCTGAGTCCTGACAGCAACATGGAGTCCTTGGAGGGTGCAGTCTCTCTGATATATTACCCCACATCTTACAACCTTGCAGATACCCAGCAGATGGAAGCCTTTCTGCTGTCTCTTGTGATTGTCTTGCTCAGCTTCAGGTCTTTCTTGAGTGACCAGTTCGGCTAT